AGATCCTAATCAAGATTCTATACTCCAGAGGCAACTAGTGCATCAGATCTTGCTCTCTGAGTCTGCACCAGTGGGTATATTAATGAGAATAAAAGATGTTATGTAATTTTTTCACGGTGAAATGAATGGTATTTAAGCTACATAGTTGACCAAGTGCCTCCATTGGGACAAGATTGGAGGATAAGTATTGGTGAGGCCAGCAACCTCCCAGTCTAGGTCTAGAGCTTGATTTGGTCCTGTGCTTACAGCCCTGGAAGAATTTCCTCAAGTCACCTGGCCAGTGAGCCTAGGTCTCTGTAACCCTAGTGGGCCAAATCCCACCTGCTTGGTCTGCTTTTCTACCCAGAGCTCATTGGACACACACTCTGGCTGCACTCATTGTTTGCATTTCTTCTTATTTTAAAAAATATGTCTTTATTGATTTCAGAGAGAGGAAGGGAGAGGGAGAGAGAAGGAAAGAAACATAAATGATGAGAGAGTCATTGACTGGCTGCCTCCTGCAGGCCCCCCACTGGGGATGGAGCCTGAAACTAGGAATTGAACCTCAATCTCCTGGATCCTAGGTCAATACTTAGCCGCTCAGCCATGCCAGCTGCGCTCGTTTGCGTTTCTTGTCTACACAGGTATTACTCTCAATTTTGAGCCAGGCTATGTTTTTTAATTTCTTAATTTATATTTTATATCCAATAGTGTTTTTTTAAGTAGATTGTATATCTAAAGTATGAATTTATTGTAACATTTTGATCAGAAGCACAAGAATTATTTTGGTGTTACTTTCTTATTATTTTCTGCTTGAGAATATTGTCTGTATTCTGAGTCTAGGTTCCCATCTGTGGGGACAGTGTGGTGGATATGTAATCCTGATACGTTAGTGGTTTAATTAGGCTTGGTGATTTTTTGAAGGCTCCTTTTTATATTGAATTCTGTTCAATAGTGGCAGACGATTCTCTTGTGTAGTGATAATGTTCTTGAATACATGCAAATTATGTAGGCCAAAAACATATATGTTATATAACTTGGGTACTGTGTATAATGTAAGGAATGACATCCACCAGCAATTTCTATAGTAAACATTACTATTATTTTTTATACCTTATTTAACACATGTAAGTAGAAATGATAAATGAATATAGCATATTCAATAAAAATTAGTGTTTTACCAGAGCCCTTGCCTCCTGCAATTTGATGACAGATGTATATAAGTATGGCATATGTTACCAATCTTTTCTTCCCAAGTTTACTATGAAGAAGAAAGCAGCCTGGCTGGGCAAGGCTCAGCAGTGGAGCGTCAACTTAGAATCCAAGAGATCACAGTTTGATTCCTGGTCAGGGCACATGCCTGGATTGTGGGCTCTTCCCAGTTGGGAGCGTGCAGGAGGCAGCCGATCAATGACGGCTCTCTCATCATTGATGTTCTGTCTCTCTCTCCCTCTCCTTTCTTCTCTCTGAAATCAAAGACATATTTTAAAAAAGAAAAAAAAGAAAGCAGCCATGGACTGGTCTAGATCGCTTTCTGTATTCACTGGGAAACAAAGAAGTAGTTTTCTTTTATAAAATATTTACCTGCATAAATGGATCATTCACCTTGTTCATCCGTTTTTAAAATGGGCTATCTATAATATAGGCATACATAATCAGCTATAGGCCTAGTAATCAGAGATGTATAGATTTACACTGTAGTTATTAGAATCATGGAATTGTAGAGCTTGAAAGGAACGTAGGTATCCTCTAGTTAAATATTTCCTGAGTCCTAAAGTGTCTTAGTTAAATCTCCTTCAGGATTCCATGCTTAACTTCAACCACTGGCATGATTTACGCCCACTTAGATGTGGATGTATAGGTACATATGCATGCCTGTCTGCCTCTCTGTCTAATAAGAAACAGTTGGGGTCAATAGGATTTTAGTAGAAATAAGTGGTTAAGGGACATGAAAGCCTTTTAATATTTAGCACTGTTCTATCAGTGAAAGTCTAAAAACCAGGTTCAAGAAATCCTCACTTAAGATACTCAAAGAAAAAAAGAAGATACTCAAAGCAGAAATATCAAAGTTAAGAAATTGGGAAAGGGAGTAAAGTACTTCGATTTTTTAAGGTGTTCTAAAACCCACATATGAGTACATATTATAGCAATATAGATACCAGGGAATGATCTGAGGGGTTTAGTAGTTTGGAAATCGCTACATTTTGTCCTAATTGTGGTGTGAGGCCTTACTGAATTTCAGCTAAATTACTTTTGTACAAGGCTTTTTCTATAAAGCACCAATAACTACCTGACATCACAGGGTTTTTGTGATTATTAACCCTGTGATTATTAGACTAGTCTTCATAGTTGATTATACTATCCTTTTAAATTGCCTTTTAATTTTCAGCTGATGTAAGTAAAATAGATAATATAAGTTAATTAATATGGATCTGTTCTGTGTTTATGCTCTAGGAGATTTCAGGAGACAAACAGATAGATAAGGTTCCAAACAAATGTGCCATTTGGGGCTGTGGCATTTTATTATGCATACTTTGCATATTTGTTATTTCTAATAGGCTATCTATCATATTGGTGTGCATATAAGTAGCTATATGCCACGTAATCTAGGGGCTTATTGATTTAAACTTCATTTATCTCATCACCGATCACTCTTGCTGCAGGTGGCCCTTTGCATGGTCCCCTTTGTGACTTATTTGCCCTGTTTTGTGAAGATCATTTTGTCCCAGCTAAATTTCTGTCTTTCTTTTTTTTTTTTTAAATATATCTTTATTGATTTCAGAGAGAGGAAAGGAGAAGGAGAGAGAGAGACAGAAACATCAATGATGAGAGAGTCATTGATCGAGCCCGCAACCAGGCATGTGCCCTGACCGAGAATCGAACCCCGATTGCCTGGATCCTAGGTCGACGCTCAACCACTGAGCCACGCCCGGCCTGGCCCAGCTAAATTTCTATTGCTTTTCTCCTGCCTGAAGTTCTGCTTATCTTTTTGCTTCATTTTCCCCTCTAACAGGTTGAATTTAGATGGCCCCTCAGCTGCTAAGTACTTTTCTTGCTTTTGGGGTTGGTCTTACAGGATGGAGTCATTTTGTCGCCTGAAGGTGTCTAGTTCTTTATGCATAAAACAAAACTGGCAGCTAAAATGTGTATTCTTGAAATGTCACTTTTTGAAATATCAATGACTTTTTTGATTTGCCATCAAAATTGATTGGCGTGTGATCTTTAGAGGTGTAAGGCTTCATGGGTCTACTTCCAGTTTACAAGTATTAGATTTTAATATAAGCACCAGGCCATCAGGTGCCTCTGTGCTCTAAAGAAAACCATATGAATTTGGTTGTTTATGTTCTCTCTCTCTGTGGGCTTCAAGAGTCCAGTGAACCTAAGTACGACAACGGCATCACCGGTAAATACACAGAGGACTTACTTTAGATGAAGCTTGTATAAGTAATTATGTCATTATATAGCTTTGGTTCATACTTAAGGGCATTTTATAAGTTGGGAGCAAAAAACAGGACTGAGGAGAAGAGCCTGCATGTCATCCGGGGTAGAGGTTTTAGAAAGTGCATGCTTTCTAAGTGTGTGGTTATAAGGACACACCACACACTGGGACATTTTCATTTGGGGAACCAAGTAGACAGATTCCAGCGCATTCCAGAGGTGCTGAACCGCCCAGACGGCGCTTGTTGTACAGTTGAGCTTGGATCTGCTAAAGATGAATGTGCACATTCTTTCAGAATGTCACGTTTTAAACACGTTCCAGGTGTTTGGGGAGTGGAGGCGAGGGGAGGATGGGGAAAACTTAACTAATAGGGCCCATATTTAACCTTGCACTCACTGTTGCTTTGTCTGTCTTAATCCAGCCACTTGTAAAATGAGAGAATTATTTTTAGGCCAGAAGTTTTCAACTTGTGCTGCTTTTTGCAGTTGTGACGGCTCTGAAATCTTAGAAGTGCTGTGTATGTGTGCATTAGTTTGAGGGAAGGGCCTGTGGATTTCAGTAAATAACAGAAGTCTCAGATTCCAGTCCCACCCTCTTCCCAAGTTCTCACAGGGTTGAGCACACTGTTCTAGACTGCTCCTTCCATTTCAAAACCTGGCAGTTTGGATGAAAGCTGTTGTCTAAAGACCTACAGAGACTATTGACATATACAGTTCTCAGGAAACGTCCATGTATTAGCAAGACGAGACTTCAGTAGATAATAATGTTATGGTAGACATATGTTTAAAGAAAAATTGGGTGTTTTTTGTATTTATGAAATACTCTTCATTATCTTTTCCTCAAAGTTTTGTCTCACTTGTATGCATTGTTTTTGCTTTATTTTTCTTCATCTCTTTTATCATTTGTTATAATTTTATCTTATTTACCTCTTCTACATGTATTTGTAAATGTCTTTATATCAAGCTACTTATCTCTTCTAACTAATAAAGTGGAATTTGAGACTACGGTTTGTCTCTTTAGAATTCTTATGCCAAGAATGGCATTTTCTAAACAGTGAGTGCTTAATAAATGTCACAGACTGACTTGTTCTGGAACAAGTAGTCTATGGAAACTTCCCATGGAAATTTGCTTCCTTGCTTTTAGTTGTTTATATCTCTTATTTCTAACCAATGGGCATAGTTCGAAGAATGTGCTGTTATTTTGTGATCTTAGATAGTTACTATGTAAATAATTTGATTACAACTATAAATCTTTAATTTAATTAATTTATTTTTATTTTTAAATTGATTTTTAGAGAGAGAGAGAGGAAGGGGGAGGCAGAGAAAGAAACCAATGCAATAACCAAACTTCCATCCGCTGCCTCCTGCCTCCTACTGGGGATCGAGCCCACAACCTGAGCATGTGCCCTGACCAGGAATCGAACCAGCAACCTTTCAGCGCACAGGACGACGCCCCACCACCCGAGCCACACTGACCAGGGTTTCTCTGACTTCTTCAAGGGAATAATCAAAGCAGTGATCTCATTTATTAGGTTCATTCTGTTTTTGACTTTTGTAATGGAATCTGTGTCTATTTTTTACAGCAAGGGAGATAAATCTACAGGACATCAAGGAGGATTTGGAATTGGATCCAGAGGAGAACAGTGTTCTTTTTATGGGCATCCTCATCAAGGGGCTAGCCAAACTGAAGAAGACCCCAGAGACAGTTAAGGCCATCAAAGAACGCTTGGAGCAGGAGCTCCAGCAGATTGTGAAAAGGTCTACAACCCAGGTGGCCGACAGCAGCTATCAGAGGGGAGAGAACCTCACTGTGGACAACCAGCCAAGGTAGATGGGATGCAGTTTGTGTTCTCAATAGCTATTGTACCTTTTCTAGGGTGGGAGGTGAGTAATTATTTTCTTTTGATGTTAATTCTCGAACGTGGGATACTATGGTCCATACAAACTCAGATGATGAAAACAGCTTGAATAGGTATAATTCAGCTGGATTGTGACATAGCTGTGAAGTTTCAAAGCGTTTTGTCCATACGCAATTGAAAGAGTGAAGCAATTATTGGATATTTACTAAGTACTAAGCAGAATTCAAGGCAATTTGTACATATTATCTCATTTAAGTTTCACTACAGCTTTATGAGCTACTTATTAGGACTCAAAACTTACACTTAGGGAAATGGGGACTCAGAGATTAAGTAATTAAGTAAAGCTGATCTTGAAGTTGAATGCAAGTCCATGGTCCTTCTTGTATCATGTTCCCTCTTTTAATATGGGGTGATATTTGTCAATAGGCAAATCAGTCTCAGGAATTACTGTATCTATTTAAAACAACTTATAGTATTTGGATTTCACAATTCTTGTTTCATAAGGGAAAAATTGAAATTGCACTCTGATCCAAACTCTTCCTTGACTGTCATACACTGGAGATCATGTCTGCCAAGCCAGAGTTTAGGGCACAATAGACTAATGTCATCTGATTGTGGGACAAGGTATTGAAATGGAGGCTTTCCTAGAAAATCCAGGATTCACTCTACACAGGTCTCTGCTCCTACCCCCAGCTCTCTGCATACACCAGAAATGGTCAAGGCAGGGATTGGCATGTAATTTGATCTGAGAGCTGAGGGCACCGTAGAGCATAGCTTACTTAGTATAGAATTCTTCACATCCTTTAAATTAAAAAGAAGTAATGCATTCTATTTTCATCTTTATATCTTTTGTACCTAAATAACATTAATTTTAATTATACTTTAAAACTTTTCAAAAATTAATTCCCTTATGAACTTCATTCAAGAGTACAATTGTTGAAGAAACCACCTTTCTTCCCTCCCCTGCCACAGACTATTTCAGGGCACATGTTGTGATGAACATGGATTTTGGAGTCGACCAGACCTGACTTTGAATGCCAGCTCTGCCATCTGAGGAAAATAACACCTGTTTTATAGGGTTGCTGGCATTAGATGAGGTTATGGTTAGAGCTTAGTAGGGTAGTGCCAGTAACTGCTATTACGTGCATATGTGTGTATATGAATACACACGTTTATTTATTCTTGTTTTTTTCCTCAACTTCCATAGTTTTTGATTATGCACAGTGTGATCCAGAGAAGCTGGGAACTGAACTTTTCTTCTTTCTTTGCCTGGATTTCCTTGAAGACCTTTTGCCTCCTTACCAATGAACACACCAGAATTCCAGTTCGCTATTTGCTCCAGTGCTGCGAGTCCCTAGATGAATACACTGAACTTACATAGGGAAATAACATGACTGTAGTATATATCGGAAATAAAACTAAGGACACAGATCAGTACCCTTCCTGCAGATCTCATTAACAGTGCCCTTAAAAGCAATGCGTCTTTCAAAGGACTGTGACCTCTTCTTCTGCTCCCAAGCCCCTTGCAGAAATCACCAGCGGCAGTCGCAAGAGTGGAGGTAGAAATTGAGCATACCGCCCCTGGAAATAATAAATGTTTCTGAGGAATGAGTCAGCAGGAGGGTTTTTCTTTTCTCAGTTTTGTTTTTTTTTGTCAATATTTTAAAGGCTTTTGTAGGCAGCGTACCTTGGACACTAGCAAGTGAACAAACAAGCTGCCTATAACATCTCATTTTATAAAATGTGCAAATCTGAAATTTTGGGCCTAAACTCTTTAAGATAAAATTGTCAAATATTTGGGGTGAACAATTAAAAATTTTTTTAAAAATTAAACTTATTGGGTGACATTGGTTAATAAAATGAAAGAGGTTTCAGATGTTTAGTTCTATAATACATCATCTGTATTTTGTATTATGTTTACCACCCAAAGTCAGATCTTATTCCTTTACCATATATTTGACCCCTTTACCCTTTACTGCCCACCCCGACCCCCACCTCCTTTCCTTCAGGTAGTGAACCACTTTTTGGAGATCAAAGATTAAATTCTTGGATGGGATTCCAAGTGACTGATTGATAATTTTGAGCTCTTCTGTGGTGGCTATGTGCCATCAAATGCTTTATAACTGCCCAGCTGGTGCCACTCAGTGGTTGAGCATCAACCCAGGAACCAAGAGGTCACCTGATCGATTCCCCGGCAGGGCACATGCCTGGGTTTCGGGCTCCACCCCCAGGAGGGGCTGTGCAGGAGGCCGCCGATCGATGATGTTTCTCTCTCATCAATGTTTCTGTCTATCCCTCTCCCTTCCTCTCTCTCTAAAAAATCAATAAAAAGCAAACAAAAGCAGTGCAATACTTTTAAAAACAAACAAGTGAAAACAAAAACACTCTTTATGAACCATTACTACAAGGCATCTTATGCTAAAGATATAAGAATTTGTTTTTCTTATAGAAAGTTGAAACATAGCCATAAAGATCCGTGATTCTTCCTTCTCTAACATGCATATTCTCCCCCTCCCCGCCAATGAAAGAACCTATTCCAGGTCATTAGTATATAAATGCTACTCTGAGACAAGACACCATTTCTGTAACTTTATCTAAAAGTTTCGTTGTTCAACCTCATCTTATTAAATATATTCTGGTTGTGATGCATTGCAGGCTTCTTTTCATTAGTCTTTATGTAAAGAGAATTAATGTTGTATGCTATTTTGCTAGAAAAGTAAAAGGAACCAAGCTAGAACTCTGTCTTGTTTTCACTTCCCACAGAGCCAGTATACTTTCACAGTGAGTTTTAAAAAATCACTTCGGTGATCCACTTATTATTTTATTTTATTTTTGACCCCTAAGCTGTCTAAACTAAAATTTCCCAAAATATCGTGGTCTGTTTATAGGAGAAATACTTCATCACTCATAACCTGTCTAGTGCCTGTGTAACCCTCTGCTTACTATTGAAGGAAAATATTCAACTACTGTTGTTTCCAACTTGATAAACGAGATTGTGTGCTTTGCTGACCTCCCAGAACCACCTGCAGCCCATCATGTCCTCAGAAAGACAGGCAGTGTCTTCAGTTTCAGATCTTCAACTCCTGCTGCCTGATCATTGATCCTTTCCCCAAATCTAGCTCATGAGCATTTTCATATCATTTTTGTTTTGAAGAAGCTGGAAGAAGTTCTTTAATATTTAACAAATAAGAAAAGCATGAAGAAAAGACAGAAGAAATAATATCTCAAAGGTGCGACATGAAGAATATGGAAGAGAAGGAATGTGGGAGAGAAAGAATTGGCATGTGTGAGGCAACTATGCCATCTGTTTAAAAATGGTCCTGTTTAAAAGTCAAGACACAAAATTCATGGCAGGGGAGGTGCTGGAGGCCTGTTCCACTTTGGTAAAACGCTTGATCTTGAAGAGGGCAGAAAGGGTTGAATGAGTTGGAGTCATGGCTGCCAGAGAGAGCTCTTTCCTTTTTGGGAGGAAACCATTTCAAAATGTTCCTTGATCTCTCTAGTGAATGAAAGAAAATTAAGTGTCTGATAAAAAAGAGAATGTTGCATGTTCTGTGCTTACTGTTATATTGAAGAAAGGTTCATGGAAACATGGAAAGAAATATACTTTGATGCTAAAAGTAATTGTGTTTGGTTAGTAAGGTTGTATGTTTTATTTCCCACTCAGTTTTGCAGCTGTTAAATTATAGTGGAATAGAAATTCATTGTTTAAGAATTAATTTGAAGTATTACTCAAGTTATTTTAATCAGAAGAAATGATTAAAAATGAAAATGCGTATTGGGGGTATCAGTATGGAAAAATGTAATATCTGTTTGCAGACCAACTGGATCATGTTCATTACATTACTTTTTATGACATATGGGTGTATCTGTGTGTGTGTGATTATTTTCAGACTGCTCCTGGAATGGAAGCTTCAAGAGAAGAGATATCTAGTTTGCCTTGTTTAGCACCATATCTCCAGAATCTAGCACAGTGCCCACCTGACCCATAATAATATTTGTTGAATGAAAGAATGAATTTTACATATATTTAATATCTATCTGCCATGGACCAAAAATTGGATCAAACATAAGGTCTCTACTGTTACTGAGTTTAAAGTCTAGAGGGGAAGAAAGGCATTAATCAGAGGCCCCCGAGATAAGTATATTACAAGTTGTTTTAAGTACTGTGGAGGAAAAACAAAGTATGCCATGAGAGCATATAATCATGGGGACCTTAGCTGGTCAGGTAGGTGTTTTTTAAAAAAAAATGAAGACAGATTTTATTGTTGTTTTATACCAGTTGTAGTTATTGAGCTCCCTTTATATGATAGCATCTACCAGTGAACTAGCCATTTTTCTAGTATGTTTGTTTATTGATATGCAGGAATTTTTTATATATTAAGACAGTTAGTTCTTAGGTATTTATATTGCAGTTTCCCCCCAGCTTCTCTTTTGCCTTTATGATGTCTGACCATTAGACATTTTTTATTTTTATGAGGCTATATTTATCAGTGTTTTCTTTTATAGCTTTGGGGTTTTGTGTCAAACTTAGGACTTCTCCACTCTTAGATTATAAATAAAATTTTCCCAAACTTTCTTCTAGTACATTGTTAATATTTATATTTTTGATACATCTGAAATCTGAAGGAATGGCTACACTACTTCTAAACAGACATAACACTCAGTACACTGTATTGTAATGGACTGTATACCCCCTTTATTTCTGCCTCCTATGTGTCTGTCATATAATTGATTGTCAGTGTTAGCTAAGTGAGTGCTGACTAATTCTTACAATGGATCATCTACTTTATTATAGTCATGGTTTTTTTTTCAAGGTTGATATTTGCCTCATTTCCTGAATTTTTTTTTCTGGTTTCTCAGTCCTTGAAGGGTGTAGTTTGTAGAAGTACATTGAATTATTGCTCTAAAAGTTGAAAAAAATATATTTAAAAAATTCAGAATCCAGAACTCAGAATAAAGGCATGC